CAGCGCTGGGGCTGGGGCAGGCAGAGGCCGGGCTGGGAAGGAATCGTGGCAGGTTAGAGGAAGGGTTGGAAAAATGCCCATTTTTTAAAATTTTTTGTAAAAGTAGGTGCTAACCGCATAAATATGGGGGTAATGGGCTCTGCAGGAACGGCCTGGGGCTTCTGATGCTTCGTGAAGCAAAAGGGCCCCGGAGATGCTGGGAGGGCTGGAGCCCCTCTGCTGGGAGGGGGGGCTGAGAGAGTTGGGGGGGTTCAGCCTGGAGAAGAGAAGGCTCCGGGGAGACCTTGGAGCCCCTTCCAGTCCCTAAAGAAGGGGGGCTCCAGGAAAGCTGGGGAGGGACTCTGGATCAGGGAGGGGAGCCACAGCAAAAGGGGGAAGGGTTTGACCCTGCAAGAGGGGAGATGGAGCTGAGATGTGGGGAAGAACTTGTTTGGTGGGAGGGTGGTGAGAGCCTGGCCCAGGTTGGCCAGAGAAGCTGTGGCTGCCCCATCCCTGGAGGGGTTCAAGGGCAGGTTGGAGGGGGCTTGGAGCAACCTGGTGTGGTGGGAGGTGTCCCTGCCCAGGGCAGGGGGTGGCACTGGGGGGGCTTTGAGGTCCCTTCCAGCCCAAACCATTCTATGATGCATCAACAGCGTCACTTCTTTGCCAAAAACATAAATGTCCAGTTGGGCTGGATGAAGGGGGAGGCGTAAGAGGCACGAAGCTCCCTCTGCCCTCACCCCCTGGATCGGAGCTGTAATATTGTCTCCTGTTTGCCCACAGCTTCCTGAGAAGCTAAATACAGCCGTGGCCATCTGGTTATTTCCTAACGTGTGTGAGCAATGTTGCTGTGGGACTCTGACCCAGGAGAAAAGCTGAAACAAACTGGGGCTGAACTGGTGCACGTCACGAGAATAAAACATAAAATAGGGAGCCTTCGCCATCAAGAAAAAGCGCTGAACGGTAGCGGTAATGAAGCACCTGAGCAGGTTGTCCACGGCAGCATTTGCTGGTGGAGATGACCATCAGTTAGGAAAGGCTTCAGCTCAGCCCTGCCTGGCTCTGCCGAGCTGGGGGCTGTAGAAATGGGGTTTATTGCTGGGAGTGGTGAGAATTAAACACGGGCAGAGATGTCTCTACATGCAAAGAAGTAACCTCGTCCTTCACTGCTGAGGAGAAGGGTCTGGGGGTCCTGGTGGAGAGTAAACTCTCCAGGAGCCAGCAATGGGCCCTGGTGGCGGAGAGGCCAATGGGATCCTGGGCTGCGTAGGGAAGAGTGTGGCCAGGAGGTGGAGGGAGGTCATTCTCCCCCTCTGCTCTGCACTGGGGAGGCCACAACTGGAATCCTGCCTCCAGTTCTGGGCTCCCCAGGTCACGAGGGACAGGGAACTGCTGGAGAGAGTCCAGCGTAGGGCAACAGAGATGATGGAGGGATTGGAGCATCTCCCTGATGAGGAAAGGCTGAGAGAGCTGGGGCTCTTGAGCCTGGAGAAGAGAAGGCTGAGGGGAGACCTTCTGAATGCTGACAAGGATCTAGAGGGTGGGTTGAAGGAGGATGGAGCCAGACTCTTTTCAGTGGCTCCCAGTGACAGGACGAGGGGCAACGGGCACAAGCTGGACCATGGGAAGTTCCACTCCAATCTGAGGAAGACCTTCTTTGGGGTGAGGGTGGCAGAGCCCTGGCAGAGGCTGCCCAGGGAGGGGGTGGAGTCCCCTTCTCTGGAGATCTTCAAGCCCCACCTGGATGCTCCTGAGTGATGTGCTCTGGGCAACCCTGCTTTGGCAGGGGAGTTGGACTGGAGGATCTCTAGAGGTCCCTTCCAACTCTGACAATTCTGTGATTCTGTGATTCTTTAACTGGCTGGATGGACATGGTGAGCGTAGGGCTCCTTATGAAACACTGGTTCAATGGCAGGGTGTTAGAATCCAAGGTCAGGAGCTTCACAGAAAGACAGGGCGACTCTCCTAAGAGCTCCCGAGGGTGCGGGGAGGAGAAGGGAGCCATAACCCTGCTCCCCTCCATCCTCACCCTGCCACAGATGGGGGAGCAGAGCCAGCCCTCGTGCTGGGCCAGCTCTTCCAATAACTTCCAGACAACTAGCCAAACGGGCTGCCAAGCATGGCTGGATTGTGCTGCCTTTTGTTCTCGAGTGTTCCCAGCTGCGCGGGCCCTGGGTGCCAGCACAAAAGCTGCTTTCCCCAGCCCCGTGTCCCCACGTGACACTCCCAATGCGAGAAGTGAGGGGACTTTGCCAGCTGAACCCCCCCCTTCCCTCTCCCATCCTTCTCTCCACGTGCATCGTGGTGGCCACGGTGGGCTCTGGTGCGGGTGAGATGGCTGGTGGCACCCCCAAAAGAAGGGCTGTGCCCCAGGCACCTGGGGCATCAGATGTGGCAACCTGGGGCAAGAAGGGAGCAAGCCCTACAGCTTGGCTTCACCCCAGCTCACCGAGCCATGGTGGATCCTGGCATCCAGGCAAAAGCTTCCGACTGTGAGCCGATGCTGGCTTGTGCTGGGAAAACTGCTCCTGGAGTCAAGCAGGTGGAGGAATGGAGGCAGATTCTCCTCTGCCCCATCTCCATGTGGGAAATAAGCTAAGTTTTGCTTCAGCTAATTGATGTATCATTGTTAGTGTGATAGTACTAACAAAGAAGCCTTAGTAATAGTAGAGTCTAATAAATTGTATCGAATTAATCCCCAGAAATGCCCTTGGTCTGTCAAGGGATCCGTGTTCGCAGAGCGTTATCTAGGTGAAGAGAAACAGACTAGAACATGGCCTTCAACACAAAAACCCAAAGGGTAGGGGAGTATCAATAAGGCCAAAGAAACCAGTCTGGTAAATCTGCCAAGTAGATGGTAGCAAAGACTCTGAAAGAATGTGTAGCATAATCAACTAATCAAAGGCGTGGTTAGGATAATGATTTCGTAGAATAGGTGTGTGTGTGCCTTATATGGGAAAAAGTGCAAAATAAACCTGTAATAGGTCAAGCGGTCGGGAAGAATGTGAGCTCCAACTTCTCAGCCAATGAGAAGGGAGACAGAAACTCAAGCGGCCGGGATAAAGGTATAAAATACCTGAAAGCTAAAAGATCATCGTGCATCTATTTTTGGTGCACCCGATTCAGCGCTGTTTCGTATTAATAAATTATTTTTTTAACCTTTGCTTCGGTGACTTTGTCCTCTTTAAATTCTAAGATGTGAGTCAGTGTTTCTCACATCCATCTGCCATGGATGCAAATATTGCGGGGCAAACTCATCCCGGGAGGGTGCTGTGAGCTGGTCTGGTGAGATCTTACTGCTGAGGGACTCTGAGGACACCCAAAAAACCCCGTGTTCCATCACTGTCGCCCACCCGACACCCAGGCAGGTTCTTTTTTTACTGTGAAATCCAGAGGTCTGGCAGACGGGGGCTGCGATATTACCCAAAACAGAGCGTTCCTGCCATGAAAGGGCAGGGGCTGCAGCCAACCCCCCCAACCCCAAATCGGGCAGTGCCGTGGCACCCCCAAAGTGTGATTTTTCTGCCCTTTTTTGGCTGGCTGCTCCAGGGGCTGGGCTACCCTGGCCTCTGAGCCCTTGCCCACGAGCATCCTGGCTGGCAGGCAGTCACTTGTCAATACTTTCGGTGGGTTGGTTTTTTTGTTTTTGTTTTTTTGTTTTCCCCCAATGTTTTATTCAAGCTTTTTGGGTTTTTCAAGCAGCTAATCAATATTTTTTCTTCTTTGTTCCACACGCGGCCCCAGGCTTTCTGTTCATCCAACCCCGCTCCGAGCACCGTTTCCTCACAGGCTCCCCTTCCTCCCTCCATCGCAGGGGCAGCCAAGAGCTTCCCAGGCTTTTAATGACTGTCCCCGACAACTCTCTGAGGGCACTGCGAGCTACGTTTCACGGGTGGGAACTGAGAGATTTGGGGCAAAACCTGGTTGTATCATCTTAATACCCACTGTGGGGCCAGGCTGCTGTCCCAGAGGTGTGAGTGTGCCGGGAGCACGGCTCCTCACGTTCCCCTGCCGCCGTCCTGTGGGGCTGACAGGCTCTGGAGGCCACCATTGGGCTGTGATGGCGGCTGGGGGCCGTGATGGACACTGGGGGCTGTAATGGCGGCCGGGGGCTGCGACGGCTCTGTACTCGGCACTGGTGAGGCCTCACCTCGAGGGCTGTGTTCAGTTTTGGGCCCCTCACTACAGGAAAGACATTGAGGTGCTGGAGCATGACCAGAGGAGAGCCACCAAGCTGGTGAGGCGTCTGGAGAACAAGTCCTACGGGGAGAGGCTGAGGGAACTGGGCATGTTTAGTTTGGAGAAGAGGAGGCTGAGGGGAGACCTCATTGCCCTCTGCAACTACCTGAAAGGAGGTTGTAGAGAGGCAGGTGTTGGCCTCTTCTCCCAAAGGACGAATGACAAGACCAGAAGAAATGGTCTGAAGTTGCGGCAAGGGAGATTTAGATTAGATATTAGGAAGAATTACTTTACTGAGAGAGTGGTCAGGCCCTGGAACAGCCTGCCCAGGGAGGTGGTGATGTCACCATCCCTGGAGGTATTTAAGAAATGTATAGACATGGCTCTTCAGGGCATGCTCTAGTGCCCAAGGTTATTGGTTTATGGTGAGGTGTTGAGTGTGGGGTTTAGTTGGTGGGTGCGGTGTTTTTGGTGGGCGTTTGGTGTGATGTTTTTTTTTGTTTGTTTTTTTTTTTTTTGTTTTTGTTTTTTTGTTTTTTGTTTTTGTGGTTGGACTCGATGATCTCAGAGGTCCCTTCCAACCACTAGGATTCTGTGATTCTGTGATTCTGTGACCAAGATGGCGCCGGGGGCCATCGTGGCGCCCGGACCCTCCTGAGGCGACACCGGGAGGGGCGGGGCCCAAGGGGGCGTAGCCATGGTAACCCCCGCCCATCCGCCTCGGAGGGAGGCGTGGCCCACCGGGTGGGGGGGCGCGGCGCGGTGACGTCAGCCGGCGCGCTGATTTGCATACGGCGTGCGTGCCGCTAGGTGGGCGGGCCGGCCGCGCCGGAGGTGGCGGATTCAAGATGGCGCCGTGCGGACGTGTCCGGAGCCGCTGCCCGGGCCCGGCGCTCCTCTTGCTCCTGGCGCTGGCGGCGCGGTCGGCGACGGTGGGCGGTGTTCCTCCCGCGGGCCCCGCCGCCGCCGGCAACCAGCCCTTAGCGGCCCAGGCGGTGGGGCAGGGCGCGGTGGCCCCGCGGGGTCCCCGCGGCGGCGGCGGCGGCTCGGGCAGCGGGTGGAAGCTGTCGGAGGAGGCGGTGTGCCGGGAGGACGTGGTGCGGCTCTGCTCCAAGCACAGCTGGGCCAACAACCTCGCCGTCCTCGAGTGCCTGCAGGACGTCCGTGAGGTGAGGGCCGGGCCCCGGGGGCCGGGTCGGGCCGGGCCTACCCGCCGCGGCGGCGGCGAACAAAGAGCGGGGCTCCGCGCCGCCCCGCCGCCGCTCCGCCCGCCCTTAGTTACCTCAGGATTTTGGTTTTTAAAAGCGGGGGTTGCCCGCAGGCCGGTGGCGGACGCGTTTCCTGCCCTGCGCCCCCGCCGCTGTGGTGGCTTCGTCTGAGGCGGGGGGGACGGACGGGCCGGTGAGGGGGCCCTGAGGGGAGGGCAGGGGCTTCCGAGGAAGGACAGGGGACCCCGGGGGAGGGCACCCTTCTTTCTTGGCCCCCCTGGGCTCTGTGCTGTCCCCCCCCAAGCAGCGCCCTCCTGGGAGGGAGAGGTGTCGGTGGGGTGGCTTTGTTTTGGCTTCGGTGCCTGGCAGGGTTCTTGTGCTCTCGGAGGTGTGGGGAGAGCGCTGTGCGGTGCTGAGGGAAGGTGCCGGCCTGGCAGCCACCCGAAAAGGCTTTTTTTTTCCTTTCAGGTTCATACTCCCACCTTTGCATAAAGCTCAGCTGCAGAGGTGGTTGGTTTCCAGTGCTCGTTCGTACCTGTATCAAACTAGATACACAGTTTTCAGCCCTGGCTTACTTTGCGCAGGGAGGTTGGGTTGTTCCCAAAAATCTGCTGTAATTGGTTTAAGGCTAACTCCAGAAAAAAAAAAAAACACCTGAGTTGCTACCTCAGGGTCTTTTCTAGCCCCATCCTTTCATTCATTCGGGGGAAGCTGATTTGTTAGGGAGGTCTCTTTAGCCCTTGGTTCCTCTGCTGTGAGGTCCAGGAATGTCCGGCTGGGTCAGTTTTCACAGGGTTTTATCAAGTGGAAACGCAGTCAGGAAAAACCTGGGCTCGTTCCTCATCCGTCATTGCAGAGACAGCAGATGGCAGTGACTTAATGGTTACTCTCATCAAGGGGAGCCTTGAACCAGTAACTGTGATTACTTCCTTGCTTAAAATCCAAAAAGAATTTAGATTTTTGTCGAACTTCATGTTTTAGTTTTAGGCAGGTAGTTTACTAAGACGCTCGTGGCAGACTTTTTAAATGAGCCCTGATGCACCATCTGCCACAGTTATAAAACACTCTGGTGTTTGCTTTGTGAATAACGTGTCCCTTACTGGTTTCTCCACCTGCCTGGGACCTTTTGGGGAGCCCCTGGTATGGAGGCACCATCTCAGGAGCTGCCCTTACAGGAGGTGGCTCACAAGCCAAAAAGGCAAGCTCTTCTTGTTCCTTTCTTTCCAGTTGCGTGGCCCCTCCCTTCTCTTTTCACAGTTCCAGTGCTTACTGGTTTTCTGCCATTTCAGTGAGGTGGACCTTTTTATCCTCTAGTTTATCAGCTTTCTGCTGGAGTGGTTTTTGTCGTTTTACAGAGTTAGGGGGGTGAATGCAAGGATAGGGCACAGGGAGAAGCAAAAGCTGAAGGGATGCTTTGCATCACACTTTATTTCCAGCAAGTACAAGCCCTGACGCCGATTCTGCATCTCTCATGAAAACTCCGCTCTCTTTTTTTAATGTTATGTTTTGCTTGTGGTTTCCTTTTCCCCTTTCAAAGCCAACGGTGTTGTCAGTAGTTTGCTGGCTCCTGGTGTTGTCTGGCTGTAATGCTGCCTGGTACCCAGCGCTGAAGGTGAATCGTTTCCCGAGGTGACATCCCGGGCGTGGATAGGACGTCTCTGGGTGGTTCTGGATGGAGTTTTCTCTCTGAAGGTGCCCGCCTGCAGCCTTGTCCTTATTTATCTGTCAGCCTGTACGGAGCCCTGTCAGCTGGCTTTAGACTCACCGGTTCTCCTGCCATAACGCGGATGTGATGGGCTGTATCCTGACGTAAAAATGCCTTCCCGGAGTGCTGCTCTGAGAAATTAATTACAATAACCGACTTCTCCCAATCCCTGCTGTTTAACTCTTGATGTTTAGGCTCTGAGCAAAAGTCATGAGCTGTGAACATCAGGTGATAGGCAACGGGGTCAGATGTTGTGTCAGACTTTTCCTTTCCATTGGAGGTGGCAGCAGAGAAAATAAGTGACATATTAGCTGTTAACTGTTGTTGCTCTATAACTTTTAATTTTGACCCTGGAGCATCTGACAGCTTGTTTGGACAGTGCCGGAAAAGTGACGGTTACATTTTAAAATGGGTGGGGAACTAGTCTTAAGTCATCCAAGCCCATTAAAAAAGCAGTCGAGCTGTAGTAAATGGAGGATTTGGGAGAGTTGCTGTGTGTGTGATAGCGTCACTGAGGACAGTATTTGGACACTGCTTTGCTGCAAATAGCAGGTAAGACTTTGAGATGCAATTAGGCTGCTTCTGCAGCCTTTTTTTCATAGGTGTTTACAATGATCTTATTTTTCTCATATCAAATACTCCTCTAAAATGGAAAAACCTTCAATTTGAAACTGGGAGCCTTACTAAGAGCTGTTAGAATTATCAGTTGATTTTTCTTCTTAGTGCGATACAGAAAAGCTAGAACACTTACATTTGGATAATCAAGGGAAATAACTACTTGGAACCTTTCCTTTGAGACCGTAGAGGAAAGAAAAGATGGGCTTGTTTTGTTAGCCAGTGGGAATGCAATCAAGTTATTTCAGGACCTGCTGATTTATTACTGTGGATGTCTTTTGAGTAAGTCCTCCCTTGTTTTTGCTGGGTAGTTCTCTTGAATCTAAAGAACAGGAGTGTTGAGTCTGTGCTTGACTGGTGAGGTGAATGTTGAGAGAAGCTGTTTAACGGTTGAGGTGAATGTTGAGAGAAGCTGTTTAACACAAATACTCAGCAAAGAGTAGTTTGAAACAAGAGAAAACAGTAAGAGAATAACTAAAAGCCAACCAAACCTGCAAATCCTAAATTTTAAAAGTTTTGTTTATGAGATGTTACTTTAGACTGTTAATTTAAAGTATTATCAACACAGTTATTTAAGCACTGGATGTTTTTAGAATTCTTTAAAAAAAAAAAAATCAAACTCCAAGACTGATATCAACTACTTTACCACTGATTATTTTTTTTTTTAAAATCAAACTCCGAGACTGATATCAACTACTTTACCACTGATTATCCACAAAGTCAATGAAATATTTAATTGATTTAGGGCAGAGTCTGCTTCTGCAGGTGCGGAACTCATCTGAAAGACTGAAATCAAGGGACAGTGGTGCTTTTCTGCTTTCCTTTCCTCGTAGGAGAATGGGATGGTGCTCCTTAGTTGGAGGAGGTAGTGGTCAGAACTAGGCAGCTTAAACATCTTTGACTATATTCAGAAAAAAGAATCAAACCCACGTTTTGGTGCATTTTCCAGATGAATTAATTCCCTTCTAGTTAAAATTATTTGTGCACTAGATACGTTACTGCTTTGAATCACTTAAATTTTGTCATCGGTTGTCTCAGTTGTTATCCAAATAACTTTATGCCAAGATATAAAAGCAATAGAATAAGGTGGTGGATACTTTTGTTTTTCAAAAATGAGTTGTAAAGTGTTTTTTTTCTGAAGCAATTCTGGTTGCTAGCCTGTTTCTAGACAGACTCAGAGCTTGCATTTCACTTAAAATAGACTGCAGCCTTTAATCCCTTTTTTATGGGCTGCCTATTAAAGTAATTTTCATGGTGGTTATAGTATAAATAAACCCATGAAATATTAATATATTTGCTAGGTAAAAATTTTTGCATGATTAATGATGATTTGCACGTACAGCATGACTGAGTTTTGAGTTTGAGGTAGGAAACATTAGCAGGTATGAAAATACCTTAACCAGCGTAGCTCTTTTCTGGCTTATTAGTGAGTGTAAATTTAATGTTAAAGCATGCCTTAGGTCTGATTAATCGGTGAATTAACTTGATGTCATAATTGTTGAGCTTTACTTGCATTGCATTTGTAAAGGTTATGCAATATTTAAAGCATTATATCCATCTATATAACCCTGATGCATTATAGGCTAAATAATCTCTCAAAGATCAAACAGCCCTGGCTAAATTGGGATTAGAGATCAAAGTTTTGGCTTCCTGCTACTTTCTTCATCCTGAATGGGTCCAGTTGTTTGGTAGCACCTTTATGGCAGGGGTGGTATAATTGAGCCTGAATGCTCTGCTCTCAGGGGAAAAATCAGGCTCTCTTGATGTTGAGGATTGGGTTAAGAACAAAACAAGTTAATCTTAAAAGCTGTGTGTTTTAAGAATAGAATTTTTCCTGTTATTTCAGATGCACAGCCAGTGTAAGGGGCCAGTTGTGTGTGCTCAGTCCCTGTGCTTGTTTCTCTACTTTCTTGGGAAAGAGATTGGAAGTGAAGGTCTCCCTGAAGCTTTTTGTTTGCATAGAGGTGGATCTGTTACAGTAGCTCCATTTATTTTAATTCCCCCCCGCCCTTTTATCTCTGTAATATATTGAGGTGAAGGGCAGAGGTTTTGTTTTGACTCCACATGCGACATTATCTCATATTTGAGCACATACTCATGTTATTTCCATCTCTCGCAGTTTTCCAATGAACAAGTGGAGGCTGGCATTTAAAGTACCTTTTTTTGAGATGTCTGGGCTGTGGCAACAAATGACTATTTACCTGTCCAGAGCTGTAATTGAGGGCTGTGGATTAAACATAGCCCGGGGGTGGGCTAGTTTTTAGGAAATGAAAATAGTGAAGACACTGTTTACTGAGTTTTCATCTCCTTCAGTGCTTAGAGTTTGTTTTTCTGTCTCACAAAACCTCTAGGCGTTCCCCCTGGCTTTGGGGTGAGCTCTTTTGGATGGAAACTGCCTGTTTCTGAGGGTGGTAAGTACGTAGCTGTGGGATGCAGACTGTTCTGGTTCTTTAATCATTACTATTGCAAAAGAGTAGGCAGTTAGTATTCTGGTGATGCTCTTACAGTGCCTACAGCATTATTATCTGGTTCAAATATCAACACGCAGAGGGATTTGGTTTTTTTAAAGGCAGTGATCAGAAACCTGGAAAACATACCTTAAGCTTTGCCAAGGGCTTTGCTTACACCCTCCTGCTTTTCT